GCTGATTTCTGCTGACACTACTGCCCAACTGCCCATTCCCAGTTTCCAAGTGTGCTTGCCCAAACCCCTCAGCCTGACTCATCCCCAGTGGTCTTGGTTCTACCCTGGGCTAGATCAGGAAAGTCCTGATCTGGCCTGCTATCTAGTCTCTTTCAACTGCCAGAAAGACAGTCAATGCTAATATTCTGGAGCTGAATGTGATAATAATTGTAAACTCTGCAAATATACTAAAAGTCCATGAATTGTACACGTAAAAGAAAAGATCATCCCTCCTCTGCTTAAAATCCTTGAATACAGCCCTGCAGGATATGACCTTCCCCTCCCTCCTTCACCACACAGGCCCATCTACTGCTTGGATTCCATTTTAGTTTTTTCTCCATTACTTAAAAGCAGTAATTTTTTAGCTTTCCAACTTTTCTTGTGCCTTCAACACACAATAAAGAAAGCACTTGATCCTGTCAGGCTCTTTTACCCTAGAGAACCACCAAAGGTCATGATTTTCTTCTTGGACATTCTCACAACAACTCTTCCAAATGGACCTGTACACACACCACATGCGGCTTTTGTTTTACACCAGCCTTGGTGTAAAGGTAAACAATTCTATTAGCAGGGGCTGAGGTAATCTGGTTTTGTTAGAAGCTGTAGTGCAGGGCAATGTCAAACACTGGACCATTCTGGATGCCTCTAAACCCCATCCCCAGAAAGGGGGTGGAAAGGAGGAAAAGTTCCTTTATGTTTAAGAAAGCTGCCATACCCAGGTCTGAACCTGCTGCCCCCTGGTCTAGAACACTTTTCTCCCAACAACAGTGTGGCTCATCCCTCATGTCCTTCATTGCTCACTTGGCATCATCAGAAGGAGTTTCTCAAGACCTCAAGTAAAAGAGCTGCACCCCCCTGACACACAAATTCACCTTATCCTGTTTCAGTCACCATGGGCTGTTCTCTCTGTATTTTAAAAATTTTGTTTATTTTCTCTTCCCTTGAAAGCACCTTTGCCTGGAAAACAAAGCATCCAACAGACATGGAGTAAATATTTGTTAGATGAATGAACAATTAACTGGCCCAAATGTGACCCAGTCTTGATTACAGCACTGACACAATCAAAATATTAATGGGGTTCAATTTAAATATTATAAGATCCACTCTGATGTTAATGTTTTTTTTTTAAGATTTATTTATTTGTACATACAGAACTGAGGTACAGGCCAGAAGTGCAGGGACCACGAGAGGCTTCACCAGAGACAGAGCGGGGAGCAGAACAGGCAGATTGACAAAGTACACTACTGAGGGGAGCAGTGGGCAGGTCAGGAGAGGTCTGCCATGCCATGTGGTCACCTCCCAGGCAGGTGGGAATTGAACTCATGCGGAAGTGGCTTTAGCTTCTCAGTGCAGTGCTTTAACCCGCTGCGCCACCAGGGAGGGCCCCTCTGATGTTAATTTTAATGAAATTCATACCTTCAGAAAGTTAATGCCACTGCTATACAAAAAAAAAAAAAATCTGCTCTTCTTGACATTCAAATTTGTTAAAAATGATGAGCAGCAAAAGACATTTGAACAACTTGGAATAGGAAGATTAGGCAGAAATCTAAGTGTCTAACTTGTAAATGCAGGTTGAAAAAATCAATTCAAAGCTTCCTGACAGTGATAAACCACAGACTTTTTCAGAGCAGCAATTCTGCCAGATTGTATTGGCATAAAGTGCCAGTAACCTTTCCTATGGGGACAAAAGTTAAACTATTCCAGATTGAAGACAATGAAGACACTGTCAGCAGACTTTGGTGCCTCAAAAAGGGATCAAGGCCCTCCCTGGTGGCGCAGCGGGTTAAAGCGCAACACTGAGAATCTGAGGCCACTTCTGCATGAGTTCGATTCCCGCCTGCCGCCTGCCCTGGAGGAGACCACATGGCGAGCCAGACCTCTCCTGGCCCGCCCGCTGCCTCCCTCAGCAGTGTACTTCGTCAATCTGCCTGTTCTGCTCCCCACTCTGTCTCTGGTGAAGCCTCTCACCGCCCCTGAGCCTCTGGCCTGTACCCCAGTTCTGTATGAATAAATAAATAAATCTTTAAAAAAAAAAAAAAAGGGATCAAACTTCATGTACTTATTATAGCAATAGTTCAGTTAAAAATGAGACACAACAGGGAAATTTTATGTTTAATTATTACATTCTGCTCAACTTGAGGTAAAGGGCTTTATCTCACAGATAATTGTTATAAAGTGATTTCACTGGATAGTGGGTAGGGACAGCAGGTTTTGTCTTCCTTTTTAATATCAGACTTTCATATCCTCAGACCAGAGCCAGGACTTAGACAAATGTATATTTGCTGAATGAATGATTCCTGGTAATCAACACCCCCAAGTTATAAATCCATAGATGTACCCATCAAATCAACTAGAGATTGTAGTTTAATATTTTTAGAACAATTCTGAAAGCAAAACAAAAAAACCCCATAGCTACAGATTCTCTCCTATGACATAATGTTAAAACAATCATCTCAAATCAGCTTAACACGATCTTTTCTTAAAGGCTACTGAAAGTGGGCCCTCCCTGGTGGCACAATAGGTAAAAGTGCAGTACTGCAGGCTGTCCATAGCCACTTCAATGCCAGCTGGATCCCTGGCCCTGCAGGTGACCCACATGGTGCAGCAGCCCTCCCCTGTCTCCCCTGCTGCTCCCCTCAGCAGTGTACTTAGCTGATCGGCCTGTTCTGCTCCCTACTCTGTGTCTAGTGAATCCTCTCACTTCCCCTGAGCCTCTCGCCTGTACCCCAGTTCTATATGTATAAATAAGCCTTTAAAAAAAAAGGGGCATCTAAAAAGCCAGACAGAATAGAATATTCAGAGCTTAAACTATCACCCCACAAAGGACTAAAGGATTAAGACACCCTTACAGTGGTGAGATCTCACACACACCATCTTCAAATGATCAGAAACAACATTGCCCTTAAGGCACTCACTGATGGTTAATGTCTCCTAGCAAAGGCACTGGGAAGCTGACACCGCTTATGTAGTAGTGTGCTCACTAAAAGTGTTTAATCTGAATCTAATCATGAAGGAGCAACCAGATAAACTTAGATTGTGGGATATTCTATAAAATAATTAACCTGGATCCTTAAAAAATATCAATATCATGAAACTGCGGGTGTCAATGGCATAAACTGGACTTGTAGCTGTGAACTTAATGACTTATATACAGGTTGTTTTTTAATGGTGTAGACCTGAAGCTTATATTTAATAAAGCAAATGAAATTGAAATTGAAAAGAAGATGGAAGAACTGTTCTAAATTAAAGACTAAAGAGATAGGACAACTATGTGATCCTTTGTATGATTCTGAATTTTTTTTTT